AAATCAGCCAGTTAGAGGATTTAAATTATCCTCGAGGCCAAAGAGCACCAGCCAACGGTCTAAGACCCCACAAAATCCTGCTATCTTTCTTTCTCTTCTCTCTCTCGTACACACACGCAGTGAGCCTCCCTCTAACACACAACCCTCAAAATACCCACACGTTCCTGCAGCGGAAGTTTTTAAGCAACCTTATCTGAAGCTTTATCTGAGCTGGAGATGTGCTGCAGAAAGACAGGTCAAAGGGGACCGCGGGGCTTCTGCAGGACGAAGCATTAGGGATATGAAACACATGCCAGACCTGTCATGTCCAATTTACAGTTGACAGAATAAGTTAGTATCCAGTAGGACTGAGAGTTTTACTTAATTCTGCATGCATGTTCATAATATGGCTCCTTTCTTTAAATCTCTTTTTGCAATTAATGCCATAAAAATTATGGAAACGTTCATTCTAACTGCGCATGGGCAGTCTAAATTAATCACGTCGAAAACGTTTCCCTCAGGTTCTGAGCCTCCCCGAAGCGCGTTTACTTTATTTAACCAATTATTACGACAAGAGCCGGGCCAGTGTTGACTCTCGCTGGGCCCGAGAAAGATTTTATGGTCATTCATCAGCTCGCGAGGCGCACAAATAGTCTTTAAAACTATAAACACAATCGCTGGATCGGAGACGGGGGGACCCATTTACCCCGTGGCTGCGCTAAACGCTGAAGATAAAACAAACGATAATACTGTCTGTCTCCTGTGACCGTCTCCACAGGCATTAATAGGAGGTTTAGTGCCAATGGTGCGAGGGGGAACCCATGTAGGTTACGCGTCATTACGCACAGCTGTCTCTATTTCACTGCTGACAGCTAAAGTCATATTGCCCACATTATCATTGTTAAATTAAGAACTAAATGATTGTATGCTTAATTGATATCTCAGTGCGCCTGTATTTAACAGGGCAGAGAAGATGCACAGAAAATTTAAACCCGGCTGAACGAATTGGGACTTTCTGACTGCCATAAGACAAAAGTGTCACACATGACACTTTTTTAGGATAACCTGGCCTGCAGCTTGGGTGGGAGCTTGTTGTCATCTGTTATCACGTCCCGATAAGACAGACAGCGTCTCCAAAAATCTCTTAGAGGCAGACAGCAGAGTGTGTCACTCCTGGTTTCAGGTTCCTTGTTCAGGGACCCAACCTGTTGTCTGCTTCCCTCCTTCTTGACGCTTGTCTGCTCTGTTTCCCCTCAGAAGAGCCACGGGCCGACACCCCAAGCACACACGCGCAGACGACCATCTAGGCGCATTAATGGATTTTGATTCCACCCAGAAAGTTAAACAATGCAAGCCAGTGGTCGCTAATGCAAGTTTTTGATGTGTATGTCAGATAAATTATTTATTTGGTACTTGAAGACCTGTATAAACATCCGGAGCTTGTATTGTGCGTAATGGACTACAGCAGTGCTAAACACTATCCGGCGAGATGGATACTTCATTTAGAAGCTTTATAAACCAGTGACATCCTCAATCAAAGCACAATAAGATGTGTTTCTCCAACAGGATGAAAGGATGTACTGATTTAGTGGAATATTTACAGCAATCCTATTTGCTCTGGGCAGAGTATAAAGGCTGGTTAAGCAGGCTACTTTGCTGCAAATTAAGAAATAGGCCTATGACCAACATCAGGCCTAACATGCAGCCTACCAGGCATCACTTTACGTCAGTAAATGGGAGTACCAGAGCTCAAGGTCCCACTGGATCCCCCCGTCCCCCCCTCATTCTCTGCGTCACTGAAAGGAGGGAGAGAGAGGGGCCAAGAAAAAAGTTTGGAGTCAGAGTTGACATTCAAAATGCACACTTCACTCAAGAACAGTCCGGTAAACCAAACTTATACGTAAATCCATTACACACCGTCAAGAAGGAAAGGTGGGTTTTTTTGTTTGGGGTTTTTTTTTTTTTTTTTTGTGACTTCTTTTTGGCCTCCATGTGACAGATTAACAGATTATTTTTCTTTTTCTGGTTTTTGGCAATGTTTCCCAGCCCTAGCACGTCCACTCCCTTCTCTGTTAAGGATATATTAAACTTGGAGCAGACTCATGACGTTCTGGCGTCTTCTTTGGACGATTGTTCTCGCATGGACTGCTGCACCGTGGCGACATCCTCCTCCTCTTGTATGCTGGGCCGAATGAAGCAGGAGCCTCTCCGGGACATCTCGTCCACCGCCGCCTCGCTTCTTGTAGAGGACACACACGACTCCAGAGCCGGCAGAGGCAATGCACTTAACTTTGCTTCTACCTTTTATGGCAAATCCCTCATGGAGATGGAAATAGATAAGGATGGAAAATCTGATGCGTTTGAGGGGAAAAGAAGAAAAGGTGAGCTGAAGAAAGAATTGTCTTTAGTTTGGAGGCCCGTTAAACCTAGGCCTGGATACACATGTGCTTGATTTGAATAATGGCAGATTCTCTAAATGTTATCTGCACTAAAGCAATAAGTACCACAAGAAAGTATACAAGAAAAACGTGGGCTGCTGGACAAAGGCCCTAAAATTAAACCTTTGAAATTTAAACATAAATGAAAGTTGGTGAACTTTAATACTGATTTGAAAATCAATTTGAAAAATGTAACAAAATCCAAACTATCATTGACATCTTTGGTATGAAATGACAAATCATAGCGTTGTGCGTAAATCATATTAGGCATGATTGGTCGCAATCTGCCCGAACCTGTGCCAGTTATTATGATCTTTATAACAGCGCAAAATAAAAAATATGAATATAAATTCTAAAATCGCGAAGAATTCTAATTCAGTTATTTCTCTGTGCTTTTTCTGTCTGCGTTTGCCTTAATCAGATGAATTCAGTGTTCCGTCAGAGTCTGTGGAGGACATAAAGGCCGAGGATCAGGACCGGCCCAAGCCTCGGAGGCGCAGGAAGCCCCGGGTCCTCTTCTCCCAGGCACAGGTGTACGAGCTGGAGCGCCGCTTCAAACAGCAGCGGTACCTTTCGGCCCCGGAGAGAGATCACCTCGCCGGGGTTCTCAAACTCACCCCGACGCAGGTGAAGATCTGGTTCCAGAACAGGAGGTACAAGTGCAAGCGGCAGAAGCAGGACCAGAGCCTGGAGATGGTGTCCCTGCCGCCGCCCAGGAGGGTGTCGGTGCCGGTGCTGGTGAGGGATGGGAAGCCCTGTCTCGCGGGTGACGCGACCAGCTACAATCCTTCCTACAGTATGGGTCACATTAACCATTTTAGTTATAACAACTACACAGCCTTCAGCAACTACACCGGCTCCAGCTGCAACACGAACTATGCATGCAATTACCCCGCAGCCGCAATGCAGACTATGCAAGGAACCTCCAGCAACGGCAATTACATGAACTTTGGGGTAGGGGATTTCAGTAACGTCCAGAACACATACTCCTCCAGTAACGGGGTGTCTTCCTTACACGGCATTAGGACGTGGTAAACAAGAGAAGAAGAAGAAAAAAAGAAGTTAATTTACCTTAATAGTATTTTATGACTGCATGCGTGTATACCAACGAATTAAAACATTGAGGAGTTTGTGTAATTTACTTATATTTGATGAATTATTTCTCGTAGTTTCCGTTTGAGTTCAGCACCAGTTTTTCTCTAAACGTGTTACGTTTTAAGTTATTTTCAGCGCACATTTAATTGGAGCGAAAAACAAAATAATAAATGCCATTTTTTAATTTTAAAAATTGCCAGATTTCACTTTCTATTTTTCCATACCTTCCTTAAGGTGGTTATTACATATTTCTTTTTACGAAAAGTATTTTCGGTGGAAAACAAAACAACTTACAACTTAATTATATGATATAATTGTATATATATTCGATATTATTATTGTTACTACCATTATTATTATCATTAAAATTGTTAGCATACAACCACATCCTCATCGTGTCTGTTTTGGCTCTGTTATCTAACTGTACATCACAAACACCCCCCCCCCCCCCCCCCCCCCCCCTCACAAGAATTCAACTAAATCATCTAATAAAAAACTGTAATTTTAACAGCACATATAATGCACACCTGTGGGTTATATACTGGTAAACATGCATAAAAATAAAATAAAAAATCTGACATCTATCAAACCACCCCATGGTTTGTTTCTGGTTAAACTGCTCAAGTACCTATTAGAAAGCTTCATTCAGTAGGCTTCAACAAGGTAAAAGGTTGTAAAATGTTTACACTTTTTTTTACAACCCACTGTCAGCCGCATGTACTTTTTACACATGTTTATAAGATTGCTTTGACTAGCCCCGTGACCTTGACCTTTTTTAAATGTTTCAAACTGGGTTCCAATAGGAAAACCTGAAACGAATGATCAGTTTTTCAATGTAGATAAATTTTATATAAATTATTTCTTCATCTTCTCTTTGTTCCTGAAAGTCAATAGTCTTATTCCCTGAACTTGGAAAAATGGTGGCAAATAGAAGGTGTGACCAGATCAAAGATATGTAACTTTTTATGGACACTACACTGGATTACTGAAAATTACTGTAATATAACCTTTCGCTTTTTATTGTAACACAGCTGTTACTCTCCAATTGAACATACACCCAGCATCAAAATGATGTATTAAATACTAACAATACCAAAGCTCTACAAAGTCAAATTTACTAAATGAATGTGAAGTTGCCGAGGTCTCCCATTAGACACCCGATCCCCGTGTTTACACCATCAGTGTGGTGTCGTGTACACTTCAGAGACCTCTGCCCACTTATTCAGATACAAACCCAAACACTCAATTGTCAGTATCTTGGTGCTAAATGCAAGAATGGTCCAATTTGCTTGACAGAGAGCCAAAGGCTTTGTCTAAGTGTGCGGCTATACGAACAGGCTGGAAATTGGCTCTGTCCAACTGCCGCCACTTTACACAAGTAAGAGATGCTTAGGCATCTCTCAGGTCTCTTCACACATACTCTATTGTCTGCTATCTTACTGTAAACAATACAGTGACAAATGCACATTTGAGACACACTAAAGAAGATGGGAGCCACTGTGTTTATTAATAATTAGCGATGACATTTACAGATAATAAAAATGAAACAGCAATGCCAGGCAATTGCCCAAAGGGTGGCAAGGTCATGTGGCTTCTCTGGCCACCCTCTCCTCTGTAGTGTTGAAAAGGGAACGTCAGATAACAGCGCCACACAAACCTAAAAATATCCCTCACCCTCCACTCACGCTGGAAAGGGAGAGGGAAACAGGTTGGAATAATCTGCTTTTCCGGGTCTTATCTGAAGAAAGGCAGGGCTGCATGCTGTCCTATCTCTGCCAGTGTGAACACTGCTGGTGCTTTTCGGAGCTTTTCTGCTCTGCTGCAGAGCCACACCGGCAGAGACGGAGCAGACTGCATCCAGTCTTACACTTAATAAAGGGGTATTTTTTTACTTTGATTTGCATGCCAAGTGAATAAACATAGGGACAGTTAGAAGTGTATATACACCCTACAAGTGCTGTTCAAGTAGGAAAACACAGTGAGAAGTGAGTGCAATTGAGCCTGAATCATAATAAAGTTAAAAAGTACTTAAATATTCTTTTCACATAAACAACATTAATTCATCATTACGGAGTACAGTAATGTAAGTTGCACAGTGCATTCCGACAAATAGCATTTACATATAAAGCTGGAACGTTATTAAAAGTAATTGTGGGAAACTGGATCGTGGTAAATGGCTTGGTTTCCACTGGTGATGCAAAAACATGTACAGGCCTTGTTTTGATCCCAAATATATATGTCTGTAATATAATGTCATTACATAGCATTTTTTGCCTTGAATTAACAGTAATTAATAGCACTGCATGCTACTTTAATAGTTCAGTGATTGACTTGCCAATAAAAAACTGTTGAAGCTAAAAATGACTTCTTTTTTCCAAATGAAACCATGATATTCCTCATACTGTACCATATTTCATGTTTCATAATAATCAGCAAACAAGTTTCCCTCACACAAAGACACGTTTTACATCCTGAAGCCAAAATATTTTTTTTCCTTTAGTCTGCCTCTGAGCTGCAGGCCTGTAGGTCGCTCTCCCTCTGCGTGGACAATATTTCACTCTCAGCAGCGTCTCAGTTCAGTCAAGTAAGCAGTTCGCATTCCGCCGTGCAGACGCCGTAATGCGTCTAGCATGGCACGCAGCATTCAGAGTTGTTTAAATCATTCCCACTGACTATGGAAAGTACCATTCATGCTCACGGGAGAACCCTTCTGGTCTACAGGAAGGGGAACAGTCTCTTCTTTAGGATGTAGAGCACTGTTGCGAGAAACAGAGCTAACGCCAGGAAGATGAGCAGCTTGTCGGTGAGCTCCCTCCGGTTGTACTTGGTGATGAGTTTTCTCCCAATCTGAATGGTCCCTGTCATGGTCTTAAACTCATCATTTGTCTCTTGGATCGTTCTGGAGGAGGTTGCTTTAAACAGAAAAGAAAAAAAATGTGGGGCTGCACTGATATAAATAGACATTATATTCTGAGCGTGTGCATTAACACAGTGTAACCTGTTAAATTACTCGCAGTAAACAAGAATGCTTTAATGCCATTTAAAATTAAACAAGTATATCAAAACAACAGGATACTGTTCATTCACCAACCTAGTGACGTTATGGTCTCCTCGCTCTGCTGAACTTGCTGGGCCATCATTCGGCTGATGCTCATAAGATTTTCGGTGATGTCGCTGGTGGTCTGGGCCAGACCCTCTTTGGTCATCTTCCTGATTTAAAAAGAATGCATGCAAACAGAATGCATCACATAATAATAATAATAACAATAATTATAATAATAATAATATTTTTATCTCTTTATTTGAAAATAAAGAGATAAATAAATAAAAGTGATACACAGCAATACAAGTTAAAAACACAATAAGTTAAAAACATAATAAAAGTTAAAAACAATAAAAAATTTAAAAACTAAATGGCATAGAATTAAGACATGTAGGATAGGGTGAACAAGTAGGTCTTCAACTTAGCTTTAAAAACCTCCACCGAGCATGCCTGCCTAATATCTTGAGGGAGATTGTGCCACAAAAATGGGGCACGTAAAGAAAAAGCACGCTCCCCGATAGTCTTTTTTCTTTGCATTTAAGCAAACGTTGCTTAAGTGCAAAGCTGAGATTTAGTGGTCTTTAAATATTAGGACAATCTTCAGCTCACCTCTGTCTCACAGAATCATCAGCTCCATTAAGAAGGGCCTGCTTTTCCATGTTGTCGATTGTAAGTTTGCTGGCCAGGTTGGCTTTCCTCCAGGTTGTCTGGTTACTGCAAAAAATACAAAAAACTAAATTAATAAACTTTTATTAAGTAGGCTTTTAAAGTGTTGAAGTGGGCTAAAGGCATTACCTGAGCATCTGTTTTCTGTGGCCTTCTACCTGAGTCATCAAGGCTTGCTTGTCTGACTCTTTGTCCTGCTCCATTGCCATCTGCTCCAAGTCCTAACATGGAAGCAAAACAACCACAAGGGCTTACAATTAAAAGAAAAAAAAAAGTTCAAGCAACCGATGCACAGCCTATTAATTGGGATTAGGTGACGTATGAAAACTCTCTCACCTGAATCCGTAGTCTTAAGCTGAGGAAGTTCTTTTTCACTTCTCCATTTAATTCTGTCAGCTTGCTTTGAGGGCCTGTGCACTCACTGATATCCTGGTAAAATGTTGAACCAAGGAGAAAAGTCATGACATTTCATTGCTACACTGCTGTTACTGTTCACATGTTGAAACGACAGCTGTTCTGCATATTAACACTGCTTTCTCGAGTTGAACTGTGGAATTCGCATTGTTTTAGACCTCCTCTTCACCTTTTAACTATTTTCACTTTTTCCTGCAAAGTGGATTTTTTTTATGTATTTATTTATTGGCACTTCCCCCCAAATTAACCAGCTTTCTAATATTTTTGACAAGTTTTGCAGAATAGAGTTTAACTTACCCATTTATATTTAAATATGCTCTAAAATCATTTTAAAATATGAATCGTTTCTACTTGCTTGCTTTTCCGCCCATTGACTACTTGAAAAGGATTAACGAAGGTACATTTTTATTTAGGTCCATAAGTTACATTAATCCTTGAAATGAAAACATCTAAATACCTGCTACCAGAAAGATATATTAAAAAAAATACAGTTTAAATACAGGTGATGTACCAAAAAGTGATCTCAGATGTGTTTTTATGGCAAGTATTCTTTTTGCTTATAATGTAAACGGGCTGCAGTCAACTGGATTTATGAAGGGGTTATATATAAAACAAAAAAGTGACCTGTTTTGGGAGGATCATCATTTGCAACCGTTTAAACATCGGATCGTTTTTTGGTATATACCGGAAATCACTAGTTGGCGCAACACAACACCGGCTGGTTATCTACATTATTATTACATCTTGTTCATAAAAACTTGGCTGAAAATATTCTTTTTTACAGCCTCTTTGTAACTTCGATAGAAAATGTTCCGGTGCAGGCTTTCGGAGACGGTCGCTACACCTCATAAAATCAGGCCAATTTAATACAACTCCGCTATGTGACACGTTCAAAAACTAACGTGTCCTGTCGCAGCACTAAGCAGTCTTACCAAAGAAATATTCGCACCTGGATGAGAGCTTTAATTTCCAAGTCATATTTGAGTATTTCTTGTTCGCATATTCGGACGTGGACATCTGACGACGCCATGTTGCCAACGTAGCCGGCTGGAGCTACGGAAAGCAAAGAGGCCAATTTGAAGTCCGTACGTCAACGTCGCTGTTTGACGTGTTTTGTTACGCAAAAAACGTCGTTATCAATAATGACTGCATGAAAAATGTTTTATGGGGTCATTTTTTTCAGGAAAAACTACAAAAAAACAACAGCATTTTCTATGCTCTATGAAAATATTTTAGTGGCATAAATGTGTTTAATGTGTAAATGACTTTCAACATAATTATGTAGAAATGAACACTTTTATATTTGAAAAAATATATAATTACAAACAATTATGGATGAATGATTTATTTATTAATTATCTGATGAACCAGCTGACACAAACTTCACACATACACACACACACTCACACAACAACTGCTATTCATGCTAACAATATTGTTGAACACAATGTACATAATATATAAACAAAACTGCAACAAGAAAATGTTACTTTAATTTAGGTCACAGCACATCCACACAGATCTCACAGCCCTTTGGGAGTCATTATATACACAAGGCACTGGTGCCACTCAATAATCATACAGGGTTCAGAGTTTTAAGGCAATCGGGGACAACTGATCTCTGCAATGGCAGACATCCACTGGTGTGCAGCACTGTAAGGTCGTCTGCTGCTGAGAGAATAATAACACAACATTAGACGAGAGGCAACCAAGTATTAATATATTACATAAAAATAGCATGTAGGTATAGTCTTAAGCTTACCTTAAGGGTTGGGAGCCCTAGAAATGCAAATTAAGGCCAGTGATAGCGCAGGTACCAAATAACATGAGTGGACAGACTAGGCCCAAACAGCGGGTTCAACTGGGCCAGAATGGCTATCAACCAGCTGGGTGAACAGAGAGGACACCATCAAGATCACAAACAAAACACTCACTTCATATTCTCTAATAAAAATGTCATCTTGAATGAACACCACAGTTTGTCACAACACTGCAACCAGCTCCTGGGTTTATTATAACAGCATCAAGCTTGGGGGGGCATTTGGGAGATTAACCTCACATGGCTGCAACACTACTGTGACTATACTGCCCCCTTTTGTCTGCCAGCATGCAACATAACACCAGATGCATTCAAAACTGTGAATGTAAATAATTTATGACTTAAATAAGATACCATAGTCTGCTTTATTTTCAAACAGCGTGCATCAATTAACTTGGAGCAACAGAAGAGGACCAATTTGTAATTATCCAAATGCATTAATCACCTATCAAGAAGATAGTTCTCCTCTTATATTTAACTGACTACTCACTTCAGCCATTTATATTATAGGCCTGATTCATTGCAGGCTTCCTCTATTGTTTTTAGTTATATATAGTAGCACTGTGTGTGTGTGTGTGTGTGTGTGTGTGTGTGCCCGTCTGTGGAAAAAAAAAGGAATCCGGATGGTGAATACTTACAAAAGGTAACAGCAGATTGCAGTTAGCACCAGCATCGTCACTATCACACTGTGGGGAAATAATATACATTTTAAATATATAAACAGCACATCTAATATTTAATGTCTGCGAGTTTTTGGATTTAAAACACATCCAGCCATTCATCCACATTCACGAGCTGGATCTCGTGATGCAACTGAAAATCAGACGAATAAAGGAAGTTGTACTGACTTTGGCATTTTTTCCAAACATCGAATCCATTAATGGTCGTATTATGTACTGGAATACAAGAGCAGGATTCACTGCCAAGGGATGCGAGGAACTTTAGCACGAAGCCAGAGTAAAATTAGCTTTAGTTAGCAAATTCTTAACTTTTAATAACTAGAGTAGCTAACAGGGTTTAAAGGTGATATGTAAGTGTAATAAACAGCTTTACACAACGCCAACAGTAAATTTAGCTCACGCACACTTCACCTGTTTGTATAAAAACTAAGAAAATAATACAACGTTGACATAAAAACCTTCCGTAAACTCGTTATAGCCAGCCGGAGCGAAGCTAACCAACTTACCCTCTGTTTGGTCCTTTGGGGATAAACCAAGGCACAATTCCTCCAACAATACCCCAGAACACAGTCATCACGGAAATCGCGATCGCAAACGAAGTTATTGCCATTGTGAGTTTAGTCTAAAAACACAAGACTTCAGAGGTATAAACTTTCAACTAAATTTATGCTGCCCAGCCGACGACGACACGCAGAAGGCAACACGTATCACATGACTGTGAACCAGAGAAAGAGGAAGTGGAGGGACTGCACTGCAAATTTCAAAGTGCTTGTGTTGTGAAACGTTTTCATTAATTCTTAAATTAAATAAATGGCGAAAAGTATTTGCGTTTTAACCCAACTTTTATTTGTGGTTATATTCCATATGCATACAATGAAGCGGACAAACTGGAAGACAAACTGTGCCATATTTATGTTTATTTCTATTACTACATTTCTCTCATTAACGTGAAAAATAGTATATGAATATTACACATTGTTATACAGGTGAAACTCGAAAAATTAGAATATCGTCCAAAAGTTCATTTATTTCAGCAATTCTACTTAAAAGGTGAAATTAATATAGGTTCACCTTTTAGATATTTCAAGCCTTTATTTATTACAATTTTGTTGATCGTGGCTTACAGCTTATGAAAAACCTCAATTCAAAAGCTCAGAAAATTTGAATATTGCATGAAACCAATAAAATAAGGATTTTAAATAGAGAAATGTCAGACCTCTGAAAAGTATAATCATGCATATGTACTCAGTACTTGGTTTGGGCCCCTGAAATACTGCATCAATGCGGTGTGGCATGGATGCTATCAGCCTTTGGCACTGCTGAGGTGTTATGGAAGACTAAGATGCTTCAATAGCAGCCTTCAGCTCTTCTGCATTGTTCGGTCTCACGACTCTCATCTTTCTCTCGGCAATGCCCCATAGAGAATCTATTGAACCAGGTTTTAGTACGTTTGTAGGTGTGGGCAGGTGCCAAGTCCTGCTGGAAAATGAAGTCAGCTTCAGCTTCAACAGCTGCGTTGACTCTGGACTTAATAAAGCACAGTGGACCAACACCTGCATGCCTCCCCAAATTAACACAGACTGTGGAAACTTAACACTGGACTTCAAGCATCCTGGATTGTGTGCCTCTCCATTCTCCCTCCAGATTCTGGGACCTTGGTTTCCAAATGAAATGCAAATTTTTCTCTCATTACAAAAGAGGACTTTGGACCACTGAGCAACAGACCAGTTCTTTTTTTCTTTAGCCAAGGCGAGACACTTCTAACATTATTGTTCAGGTGCGGCTTGACAAGAAGAATATGACATTTGAAGCCCAAGTCCAGCATCCGTCTGTGTGTGGTGGCTCTTGATGCACCAACTCCAGCCTCAGTCCACTCCTTGTGAAGGTCCCCCAAACTTTTGAATGAACTTTTCCTGACAATGCTCTCCAGGCTCTGGTCATCCCTGCTGCTTGTGCACCTTTTTCTTCCAAACCATTCCCTTCCACATAACTTCTTATTAATGTGCATTGATACAGAACTTTGGGAACATCCAACTTTCCAATTATCTTTTGAGGCTTTCCCTCCTTATGGAGGGTGTCAATTATGGTTTTCTGCTCAACTGTCAGATCAGCAGTCTTCCCCATAATTGTGATTCCCACTGAACCAGACTGAGAAACCATTTAAAGGCTCAGGAACTCTTTGGAGATGTTTTGGATTAATTAGCTAATCAGAGTGGGACACTTTGAGCCTACAACTGGACCTTTTCACAATATTCAAATTTTCTGAGCTTTTGAATTTGGGGTTTTCACAAGCTGTTAGCCACGATCAACAAAATTATAACAAATAAAGGCTTGAATTATCTCACTTTGCATGTAATGAGTCTTTATTATGTTTCACTTTTTCAGTAGAATTACTGAAATAAATGAACTTTTGCACGATATTCAAATTTTTCGAGTTTCACTTGTATTTTTTTTTCATTCAATAGTTAGCCTCTCCTCCTATGTTTTATTTTCGCTAAATTTAATGTAAAATTTCTTGCAAAATCTATTTTTTTCTTCTTGTCTCTTGAACACTGTCAGAGATGGCAGCAGGAACCCAGAGGCATTCAGTGAGGAGCAAGAGGTCACTGAATTACCTGCTGTCCATCATGGACAACCCATCACGGTCATCACAGTCCTCTCTGCAGAGCTCATTCATCAGCTTGTTTAAAACCAAAATGGTTTCCTACTGTTCTCTATAAAACAGCTCTTCTTCTGTGACAGGTGAACACACCTGTCAGGATATAAGATTTCATTTTTATCCTTTATCCTGCCTTAAAAGTAATTTCCTTTGCAGGATCCATAAAGTATAGAGCAAATGCTGGGTTTCCATATTTCTGCTTAAATGCTTTGAAATATTTTTTTGTTTCTTGCACAGTATTTTGGATTTTCACCTCATCATTTTATAGTGAAATCAATTAACATAGAAGCTGAGGTGGTGTGTAGTCAGTCACATGAATTTCCTTGCCTGTAATAAAACTACTCATATTTGCAGTTAATTGTGCAATTAAAGAAGATTTCTTTGTGTAGTTCACTTTTAACATCTTTAAACAATAAAATTATGCAATTTTGGCCACAGCTTGTTTTTAATTTATTAAGCAGCAGCACTGGCCAATTCATTACATTCCTTGTAATACAGTGTGCTGTTTAGAGATTTGAACATGACTTTGAAGGCATACAGTATACCCAAGTGTTAATTTCCATAAAAAAGACAAGCATGTTCAAAATAAAACATTAAAAAACATTCCCGAGTTTAGGGCGTTACAATGAAAATATGACAGACAACATGAGGTCCATTTACAGAGTTTATTGATAGCAAAAGATCATTTTCACTCCTGCATCTTCTCAATGGTCTCCTCCTTGTATTTGCCCTTCTCCTTTCCATCAGCGCGAGACTTGGCCTTGCGCTCCAGGATCTTCTTGCGGTCTTTGTCCAGCTTTAGCCTGGTGATGACCACCTGCCGACACAAAAACATCTTGGTAAACAAACATTCTCTCGTGGATACATCAGCAATATGTCTGAAATTACCTTCAAATCTCTTTAATAAAATTAAACAAAAAGACATTGCTTAATAATTTAAAAATTTCCCACTGTTTTTGTAACCAAGGATTATTTTTTTAATCTACAAGGAAAATCTTGCTTTTCC